CCACGCCCCGCCACGCCCCGCCACGCCCCGCCACGCCCCGCCACGCCACGCCATCCCTCCGAGGCGGCAGGCTGAGGAGGCCCCTCTCGTTAATGACGTATGAAAACTATTATCACATTCCTGGCGTCGCGGTTCGTTTTCCAGGCCGTTTGTCGGCCGTTGTTTGTGATGAACTGTCCGCCTCGCACCGCGGCGCTGCTGCTGCTGCTTACTGTGCCTCCACACCACAGCGCTTTGCCTCGGCGCAGACCCGCGACTGGGATGGCGTGCCCGCGTTCATCAACAGCAAGAGGTGCTGCTCCGAGGATTGATTTCAAACCATCGAACAGCATCTACCGAATCGTCCGAAATATTGCAGTTGGCTCACCCACGACCTCGCTGGAGGCTCCAGGACAAAAACACACTGGGAGAAATAGTGACTTACAACAACGCGTTTACAGTGTCGTTATTGGCAACCACTGAGTAGTTTTAATACCCCCTTCCTCTTCCCCCCTGCTGGGACAATCACGGTGCACTTGAGGAGGGAAGTCCGGTGCGGCCCGCTTGCTTCGTCGCGGCGTTCCGATTCGCCGGACCGGCTACATTTAATTGCCCTGACCGTGGAGGAGATGGCCGTAGGGCCCGAGACTGTGCAGAAGTGAGGTGCCACCGCACCGCGCGGCCGGCGGCACCGCTCGGTGGTGCTCCAAGGGCGTTCCACGGGCGTTCCAGGGGCGGGGCGCGGCTGGGCGACATTGTTGCACATTCCAGACAGGTGTGCCTGGTTCGGCCGCCCCACCCCGCCCCGCCCCGGGGGCCAGCCCAGCCCAGGCCTCAGGTCTAGCCAGAGCCGCTTATCTGCCTTCTCCGATGTCAGCCATCTAGCCTTATCCACCCACAGCAGCAGCAGCAGCAGCAGCAGGTGCGTGGGAGGAATGAAAGAAGATTGGGGGAGGGGGAGGGAGGGGGATGGCGCGCCGGGGGATTTCCATCAGATGGGAAGGGCCGGTGCCGGGGACGGAAGGGTGGGTCTGGTTGGTCTGGCGACCCACTCCGCGCTGCTCTCTCTCCCTCTCTCTCCCTCTCTCTCTCTGACCCCGACTGCTCTCGTTCTCCCCACCATCCCTTCCGCCGCTGGACCGCTCCGTGCCGTGCGTTCTCTTATCGGAGGCGTACAATCGACCCTTTTTCTTTCTCCCTCTATTTTTCTTTTTTTATTGCGATGAGATTTTTGGTCGGTAAGGCTGACGCCCGATGAATAAACCAGCAGCGGGGAAGACCGCGTGGTCCCGTCAGTCTGTGTGGAGAGTGAGCGCCACAGAGTTGGTGAGATAAATTAGATGAGACATTTACTTTTATTGTCGAGCAAAATTAGCCCGGTTCGACCTCTGTCAGGATGTTGTGAGTTACTGGAGCAAGAGAAACGGCGACGCACAAAACCATCACCATGACCGCGACCTTCGGACCGCGAGCGCCCTCCTCATGCACGCGCCGAACCAACGCCCCCACCCCGCCCTACCCCACCCCCACCACGCGCCACCCCGCCCCGCCCCACTGCCCCACCCCGCCGCCCAGCTGCTGGACCCGGTACAATGGACCGGGCTGCTGCTGTTTGGTTTTTATCGGGGGCTATTTGAACCTGGGCACGTGCGCGGGCGAACTCCTCCCCGCTCTCCCGCCCCACCTCCACCACCTCCTCCTCCATCTCCTCCTCCACCTCCTCCACCACCTCCTCTACCTCATCCACCACCTACCACCTTCCACCACCCGCGGACACGGCGACCTCTGGCCGCGAGCAGGGAGCGCTGCACCGTGCAATGGACCGGCTCGACTCGCAGACGGGGACGGGAGGCAGGGCTTTTAGAAAGACTGTTGCAAATCTGTGCGATAGGGCGGCAGCGTGGTGTGGTGTGCATGCATGAGGAGGTGGGCTGGGGTGGAGGGCGGGGCAGGACGCACCCATCAAACCCACAAGCAGGGCGGTGCAGGGCAGGAAAGGGCAGGGCATGGCAAGGCAAGGCAAAGCCTGCTTCCTAACGAGGTACACACCAGGCTTGAATGATCTTGGGCGACCACTGCCTCTCAGCCTCACCTTTCACCCGTGTGTCGGAGAGAGGGGGAAAGGGTGG